CCCATCAGCTCTTCTGCTCTTTCTTTCAAAAGGATCTCAGCAGAATTTTCCCTTTTTTCCAATTTTCTCTTACCTTAATTACAAAGATGTCAACTGAAAACTTCCAAAAATCTCAGCTATATATTGTTATTCTGTAAACACAAATGCAAACACATAATGGCCACATAGAGCGAAAAGCAAATGGATATGTTCTCCCACCTCACTGGCACAAGATTAGGGAAGCATTCTGTCCTAGGGTTTATTGTAACATTTCCTTTTCGTATGATTCATCCTGAATGGCCAACATGCTTCAGTATTCATAAGGTCAACAGAAATGGTTACCTAGCATGCTACATAACTAGGGTGTCAGTAGCCAAAATGATTATGGAAAAGAGACTGGCTTAAAAGGAGAACTGGTGGTTTGCTGCCCATTATTTGTAAAAGTAGTGAACTGAGAGTAGAATTTATTAAAGTCTGCCTTAACATTGAAATTCAGGAGCTAAAGAAAAAGTGAAGAAAAACATATTAAAGTTCAAGTCAACGCTAAGACTTGTCCAAATTATAAAGGTTGCCTTGAATCCCAAAGAAGTGGGTACAACACAAGAAGGGGGAAAGGGGTGGGAAAACTGAAAGATAAAGGTGACAATATCGCCCCTTAGATGGCGATCAAGGTGTCCTACTTCTGAGAAAGTGAGCAGATGGATGGAATATCTCATTGAATCATCCAAACAGTTTCAATGATCTGATCAAAGTGCTCACCAACATTCTGTTTAATGGAATGAGTAGTTTATACTTCTTATGGTCCTTCAACATTTGACTTCCTTATATAATAGCTTCATCAATATCTCTGCTAGTGCTTTTCAAATTGTAATGTTCACATGAATTGCCTTGAATCTTGTTAAAATGCTTACTATCATTTAGTAGGTCTGACATGGGACCCAAACTTCTGTTTCTAATTTCTTTTTTTTTTTTTTTGGTACCAGGGATCGAACTTGGGACCTTGTGCTTGTGAGGCAGGCGGCAGAACCACTGAACTAAATCTTCAGCCCTGAACTCATGAATTCTTAACCATACAACACACACTTTCCTGGTATATCAGTCCCCCTCAGATGAGGATAGGCCATTCACCCCCAAACAGCTGTGACAATAGTTGTAGAAGAAGGAAATATAGATTTGGAAAATAAGTTTCTGAAGTCACAACCTACATCACAGACATAGGGTCTCTGATAATTCTTTTGAGTTAATACTTCTGAAGAAGTTTTTAATTTTGATAGTAGAGAAGGAAGGAAGCTTGGAAATATCTGTGGGTAGAATTTGCCAAATAAATTGCCAGGCTCTGGCTAGAACCAGCCTGATAGGACCAATCCTCTAGAGACTAAGGTAGCTCTTTTTGGCCATAATCACAAATATTTAAAGTACAAATCGGCACAATCTAGAGAGTAAAGATATGTCCCAGGAAACATAATTTAGTTACAATAGAGCTCCCGTAATGCCTCGTTCCTACTTAAAGTTGGTTTAATAATATACTCACCCAGTATTTTCTGAACCTTTCACCAAACATGAAACCAGCTGTGTTGATATAACTAGGAAACTCTCCTTCCAATCAAGTATTAAGATATGCTCACCAAAAATAAAGTCAGTACCCCAAATATCATATCATCTTTCTCATCCTGCCTTCAGTCAGACATATTCAAATCTAGTAAAACAATCAGAAGATATAACTATAAAGAATGAATCAGTCTACCAATCCTAAATTATCTTTATATTTTAGATGTTGTATCAGAGCCATTCTTATAGAATTTTTGTATCTATAATTGGGATATTCATTTCTTTTTTTTTTCTTTTTTTTTTTTTTGTGGTACTGGGGATTGAACTCAGGACCTTGTGCTTGTGAGGCAGGCAGGGTGCCACTGAGCTAAACCCTTGCCCAGGATATTCATTTTTTTTATGCCTACCTAAAAATATTTTCTGATTCTCTAGTCTAAGGTACAATCTTTAAATAGTATTTATAATTATTTCTCATTAAGTATATATGTGGATAGATAAGTATATAGTAATATGGGTAAATATATATAACACATATATTTATACATATTAGTTTACATATAAATATTTTCCACTTAACTGTAGTCTGGAAAAAATATAAAAATAGTTTCATTGCCAAATTACTTTGGCAAGTATTCACCCTAATTGGTTTCTTAAAAATTCACAAGGATCTAAAACTTCTATAATGAAGAAGTATAATTAACATCTTTTAGCCTGGATTTTCTAACAAAATTAGAATTCTTTTTCTTTATTTGTTATGATAAATACTTAGAAGAGGCCCACAACAATACTCTGTAACTCATTACTCAAGAAATGAGTCTGATGTTACTGACTTTATTTCCAACTTCTGGAGAATATAGCACAGGGTAGTAGGCAAATTTGAATTTGATTTACATAATCCATAATCTTTTAGATTATTGTGGCAATGAAATATCCTATTTATAAAAGTATGAGAAATAATGTTTGCTCTTTTTTGTGTGCTTTCCCTGAAATAAATGTATTTCAAATCAGTTGACTCATTTCATAAAAAATACAAAATGTTTAAGAAATACTTTAATTAAAGGGTAAAGCAATTCAGATTCTGAGCATTGAAGCTTTATGATATGTTCATATCTATAAGCACATTACACAAATATACACAATACGTATTAGGTATGACATCGAGTGACTTACTTTTAGAAATGTAAGAAGCATGTATTAGAAGACCATATAGGAAAGAAATTATGTAAAATCATTAAAAGTTTTCATTGACTCCATCTTCTTAAAGTCTCAGGTACTAGTGATCATTTAATCTTGTTTCAAGGTGTGCTGAGATTAGGTGGGACAAGCTCCACATCACACGGTCAGTGAGTGGAGCAAGAGAAACCTAAACACTTCTGTATCTGTAGGCAACAACACCTCAAGTCTGTCCATACTCATTACAAACCTTGTCCCTATAACTCCAGTAGTCTAGGAGGCTAAGGCAGGAGGATCACAAGTTTGAATCCAGCCCGGGCAAGTTAGCAAGACCTTGTGCAAAATAAATATATAAAAATGGGCTGATAACATAGCTAAGTGCAAAGATCCTTGCTTCAATCCTCAGTACTGCCAAATAAATTGTTTTCTTAGGGTAATTTCTTTACATGCTTGACTGTGTTCTTATTTTTTAAAAGGACATGTTGAAAGGTAAAATGTTAAGTCTAGCCACAGTTTTGGGAATTGGGCAAGATGCAGATGGCCCCTTAAGACAAATATAAATTTGATTCTCTACCAGGATTTTTACATAATCAAAATAAAATGAAAAAGTACTTTACTGAAAAAAATAGAATTGTTTTGAGTTCAATTAATAAAAAAGCAATATCTTATTTGACTTGTACAAATAATTATCTTCACTCATTAATATAAACCATTTGTATTGAAATGGTTTTCACATTACATTTTTAGGACACTGGAAGAGGCTAAGTATTTTGCTGTGCCCTCACAGTTTTAAGGAGAGATTTCATATTAGAGTGAGGATAAGGAATGTAGAGAAAATCTGACATCATCCCTGCACTTTGTCCTCCTGAATACATAATTTCTTTTTAAGTAAAACACTAAATAAATTCATGGACTCAGGACCCATGCTAAAACTAGATGCTTTCAAAGGCCCTGGTTAATGAGGAATCTTTTAAATGTCACATCTACAGTGCAAATTAACCAATATTGCATAGCAAAAATCCCTCACAAGAAATCTGGTCAATGGCTTATGACAAAAAAATTAATGCTTTCTGTCAAGAAGAAGGGTTAAGTTTAGTATTAATCATAAAATGACCTTTAATTGCCAAACAAAAGCACTTTGTTATTTCACTACAATCCCGAATTCACCCTGAGCACTGAAAAAAAGTCATAATTTGCTTAGTATAAATATATTAAAGTATTAAGCCCGCTCTGCTACTCAATTAGTAAACATGTCAAGGGGTGGGTGAGTTATTCATGGTTCAGAGGGCCAGCCCCTTTTCACAGGCAACTTTTTTCACGCTAATGAAATGATGGATAATCTGGAAGTAGGTCCTTTAAGAAGATATTAATCATTCTCAGTGGTAATGTTAATCATGCGTTCCATCATCTCCAGATGCTGTGCCTCACCTTCCTCAGAGACAAAGGGCACCTAAGCCAGGAGAGTCCTTTTGATCACCTTTCTAAAGGGACCCTCACACGCTACTGACAGTAAAGAAGTTTTGGACTGTAGGGTAACCTGAAGAAAAAAAATGGCAAGTCCAGTATAAAACTGTTTCAACTGATTATTAAGCCCTAGTTATTTACATTTTTTGTTCCTCCTATGACAGCAGAAAAGACATAAACTGTAGGAGTAGAACACAGAAGTCTGCCAACTAAAAGCCATAAATGTTTATCCTGGCAAACAGCTTTTATAGTCTACATTTCTAATCTTACAAAATGTTAATGTGCATTGGGTCAGATTTATCTTTTAAAATATCCCTCATGGTCTTCTTGAGTTAATGAAACGCAGTCCCCTAAGAGAATTCTGGCCAATTAAACATTTTTATGGCCAGTGTTTTCTAAAGGGGAAAAAGTTGAGTACTATCCGAGGTGGATCTTATGAGGCTAAAATAGCTACCATCACAGACTAAATTTGAATGTTTCATGGACTGTAGTGCAGAAGAACTTGGAAGGATTCCTAATGCTAAGAGGCTGCTCCATAGAAATTGCTGTGGGATGATAAACCTAAGGAGAAGTATGCCCCATCATGGTGCATACCATGACAGGGCATAGAGGTTTAGGGACCCTAGAGGTTAAATATTATCTTCATAGGAAAGAGAAGCCATTTTCCTAAATCCACATGGATGTGTCATGGGATTTACAAATGTACGTGGGCATTGTTAATGAAGTTATGTGATTGTCTTTGGTGGGCATGGTTCTGCTTAGAGGCAAATTCTGTCTATGTGATGACCATGTGATAACTATGTGATGTCTGTGTGATATTTCTATGCACAGGTGTGTGCACAGAGAAACAGAGATGAATTTCTGGCCTACTGGAGAAAACTGGGTACTTTGTTCTTCATTCAAATGGAACCGGATAGTGAGCTTCTCAAGGTAGTCTTTCCAAGCTGTTGGTGAGCTCCACAATTTACCAAATTAACAACATTTGTCAAAGTAAGTACATTTCTCATTTATCTAAGTAATTTCATATTGAGCTTCTAATTCCAAATACTATCACTACCATTTTATTTTAGCTTTTCTTATCCTCTCCCCCCTACATAGGATAATTCTAAGTTTTGTCATTTTCTGAAGCAACTCCATCTTGGAACTTTACATTTCAGCAGCCAATGATATGAAAGGAATGGAGGTCTTGTTTCTCCTAACCTCCCTTCTTCTAAATTTCCTCACTGGTCTTAGGTTGCTTTGCCACCATACATCCCAGTCCTTGTCTGGTCCATAGAGCTGGTCAGAACTCTCTTTCTCTGTCTGAGTCTTTGGTACAACACAACCAATGAAACCTCAAATATGGAGTAGTATTACATAAAATATCTGCCATTCACTGGGTTATTAAAGCAGATCTCCGAATCCTGAAGCCCTATCAGTATAAGGCCTCTGGTGCCAATTTGAATTGGTGATTTTCCTACATCTTGTTCAGTGATTCAAAGTCTACACCATTTTTCTCATGCACTGTCCTTAACTTTGTTTCCCTTTTTCTGAGCTTGTGGCCTATTTATTATAAAGAGAATCTTTCAGAAGCATTCTCAGCACACTACCATCAGCATCCACCATGGGATATGTCTTGTGTATTCTCAAATGACAGCATGTTTTTCCTTCCTTAATAAAAGTATTACTTGCTTGAGCTCTTGATTTTATTGTTAGATTTTTTTTTCTGTAGAATTACATTCTAATCTGCATGCATCGTTGTCCCAAAGTCTGACTCATTTCAGTATACAAGTAATTCTAATGTTCTCCCTAAAATAAAAATGCTTGTTTATTTTATCCCCTTAGGGTCCTTCTCTTCCACTTACTGCACAGTGGTACCTTGGTTTAAGAATTTAATTTATTTTATGATTTGGAGCAAGAAGGCTGTGTTTGTGCTTGTGTGGGGAAGACCGCTGTGGTCATGTTTGCCACTGAGTGCTGAGTTTGCAAATGGAAGTAAAATTTTGTCAAACATTTTTTTGCAAGCAGAAATGTTTGTGAACCGAGGTATTACTGTGTTGTCTAAAATTCTTGAAAGAACAGTCTGTACTTCTATCCTGCTCCATCATGTTTTTTCCAAGACTCATCAGGCATTTGTCCTCATGAATGTATTAAAATTTCCCCTTCTAGGACCATGAGTGCCTTCTTCATCAGCACTGAGCATTTACTACATGACAGCCAGGATGGTAGGTGTGCTTTATACCAGAGACACAGAAAGGAACACAAGAATTAAAAAACTAATTCAATTTTCTTGAGCTTTATATAATAGCAAATTATTAAACATAAAGAACGTTTATTTTTATTAATTTTCTAAACCACTTGAATTGCTCCGTTTGACATTTTCCCCCCAACTTCTTTTTGTGCAGCCTGAAGTATTAGTTTTTTCTAGGGTTCCTTGTGTATTCCACTGTTATTCTCACCTATGTATTTATCCATTTAATTTTATCCACTCTCATGGGTTCAGTTACCATCTACTCATATATGCTGGTTTCTGCCAAATCTCTTAGGAAGCCCTAAACTCGTCACTTAATCATCAAACCTTTAAGTCTCTCTGATTCTAGGTTTCATTTCTATAAACTCCAGACACTCAAATGCGTCACGCCCAAATTTAGCTTGTCACCTTCTCAGAGTCAGCTGTTTTTCTGTTCTTATTAACTCATATCAATACTGAAGTCCATTATCCTTCAAGCCGGCATGCTGGGAATTATGCTTTTTCCATCTCTATCTTTCTATCTAATATAAAAATAGGTATAATAATAGGGCCCTGAGCATTTATTTTCTCAATATTTTTCATTCAAATTGTAATTCCAGCTTATTTTACTGGACACTTTCATTTCTTTCATGAATATTGTAAGTGTCTCTTACCTTGCACATCAAGTTAACCATTCACAGAGAAAACACAATTTGACAAATTTACATCTTTGCTTAAAAATTATTGAATGATAAGATAAAACGAATGTCTTCAGTATGACATAAAACATTCTTCCTAATATTGTTCCTATGGACCTTCACAACGCTGTATTTTATTACTTCATGATTCTTCACTGAAATTTTGCCACAGTGAATGATTTAGAATTGCCTGTGCACACATAATACTCTTTGGTTATTTTCCTAACCTTCATGTCTCTCTTACTCTTTCCTATCTACTTGGCTGTTTGCTTCCATTCTCTGTCACAATACATGCTTGCTCATCTTGCAAGGTGAGTATACAGGTGGCATCTCCTCCATGGGAATGTTTTCTTATTGTCATCTCCACAGTGTGCTTGGCTAGGCCTCCAACTCTGTGCTCTAGTGCCTGACTTAGAGTAGTTTGACCCTTGAACTTTTGACTTTATGATGGTGGCAAAGCCATATGTATTTAGTAGAAGCCCCCCTTGAATTTTGATCTTTACTCCAACCTGGTGATGTGTGGAATAATACTCTCTGGCAGTGCTAGGCAACAGCAGTGAGCTGCAGCTCCCAGTCCGCCACAGGATCGCCCTGGTGAACAGCCAAGAAAGGCTCCACAGTGCTGTGTTGTTAAACCACCATGTTCCACAAGTAAGTTAGATTACAAACATTGGGACTCTGTAAAGTAGCATTTTATAATTATCTCTTTATATCTCAGGTCAACTCGACTAAAGTGTGTTTAAGGGTCTTCTTCTAAAACCTCTTTTTATTCTTTCTCTCTAACTTGGAGGACAAAGGAGGAAATATTTGAAGCAAAGTAATCATTTTCATCTCATGAACTTTATGTGGCAGATTGTAGTTTCCAAAATAAAGACGGCCACCTCTATGTACACCTCCTGGACCCTGAAGGTGACTTCTGTTTAGGGGTGTATACATGTATTTATTCTTAATTATTCACTGCAGCAAGTACAGACAGACTCTAGGGTTACCATGTGATTTGGGACTCATAATATGAGGAGAGAGTATGCATGTAAAGTAATGCACACCCTAGTTAGGTAAGAGGTGCCATGTGGAAACACAGAGGGAGGTGTTTTTTCTTCAGGAGTTTTGGGAAATAATTTAACATTTGAACAAAACTTTAAGGATCATTATATATTGGCCAGACAGAAAAAGGGGGAAGGTATTAAAGAAGAGACTATGTGTGGAGACATAGAAATGAGAAATTTAGAAAGCTAGCAAAAGCTCAGAAAGACTGCTATGCCGCCCATGCGTGTGCTGCTTGTCTTTAGAGGGTGTGATAGTTCACTGTGGTGTCAACTTGAATAAGACCTAGCTAGCTGATTGGCTTAGCACAGTGCTGGTGTGTGTGGATGGTGGACTAACTGAAGAGGGAAGATCCATCCTGGGTGTGAGTGGCACCAACCCATAGACTTGTGGCCTGGATGAATTAAAAAGGGAATGAAACACGAAGTCTGGTTTCTGCTTCTTCAGAGGAGCTCTGGTCTTCGGCATCGCCTCTGGATATTGTTTCCAGACTTTCAGCACAGGCTCTTCAGCCTCCCAGTGCAGACCCCTGGGCTTCCCGAGCAGGAATTGCAGGGAACTCAGAAGTGAGCTCCAGGGCTGCGATGTTTGACTGGATCCTGCAGCTCTCCAGCACACTGGTCACCCTTTCACAGTCTTCCAACCCTGACTCTGCAGGTTGCGTTTTAAGCCTACCTTGTATATCCTTTATATATCATATCCTTTATATATCATATGATGTGTAAATATCATATATGATTTATAAGTATTGCATGTATGATTTATAAATATATAATTTTATATACATTATAAGTATTATACATATATAGATAATTTGTATATAAATATGTATAGATTATTATATATTATTTCATATATATATATATAAAGTCTTTTTCTCCAGTAAATGCTGATTCAGAGGAATAGTGAGAAATGCATATTAAATCTTTCTTTGAAGATTGAGCTAAGTTTCTTTAAAAAAAAGTCTGGAGGTGTTATTGTATACACCATTTCGCAAGTACACCATTTCCCAGTATTCTCTAAGAATACTTCTTATTAAAATTTGAGAGTTGGGTTACTCTAGGGAAGAAAATTAATGTGAACAAGCATCTCACACCCAATGTTAAATAACATACTTTCAGGGTGTCAAGTGATGATATTGCTGAAGGCTGAAGGGTAAGTTTGTCTTTCCTGTGTGGCAGAGTATTTTCAGGACTGAAACATCCACGTGGAGGCCATTTGGACTCATTTGACTATGTAGAAGCAAAGACTGGGACAGTCTCTTGGCTTTCTTTCTAGGTGACCTTTACATCTGGCACAGGCATGAGCTGCTGTGTTAGCCAGCTTTCTGTGACCATAACAAAATACCTGAAGTAATGAACTCACAGGGAAAAGGTTTATTTTGGCTAAGAAGTCCCAGTCGTATGATCAAGGCAGACCCATTGCTTTTAGGTCTGTGGTGAAGCATTTGGAGCATGTTATAAAACAAAACCACTCATCTCATAGTCAGGAAGTGGGACAGGGTCCCACAATCGCCTTTGGGTGCATGACCCAGGGACCTGAAGACCTCCCATTAGGTCCTGCCTCTTTGAGGTCCTGGTTCTGTGGATCACTATCCTGAGGACCAAGCCTGTAACGCACGGGCTTTCCAGGAACATTTGAGATACAAACCACAGCAACTGCATTCTCTACTTGTAGGACAAATGTTGTCACCATCTGCCCTTCCAAAGAATCAGTCTCTCCTAAAGATTCAAGGCATGGACACAGTACATTTCCCTGATTTCTTACACTGTTCCATCGTGGTGAACCTGCAACCATATCTCCTGCAAGATTTGTTCACAGGAAAGACTTAAACACCACACTTTGTCATTCTTTCAGTACATAGCTAGTAACTGTTAAAAACACGCAGCAACACTTCTCTTATAAGGGTCAATATTATTTTTCACCTCCAATTTAAATACATAAGAAGAAAATTCCACAGGGTTCCCTCCTTAACTTGAAAATCCACCTCATTCATTATAAGATTAACACTTCTGTTCCTTCCATCAGAAACTGAATTTTCATGATATAAACATGCCACTGATAATACATACACCACCAATTAAAAACATTTCTCAATTTAAATATGCTTACAGATTTGGGGATTAAACTGTATTTAAAACATGAAAGATTCTCCCATGTTAAAACTGCAGCTTTTATTTTTTTTTGTACAAAGGTTGAAAATTAAGTAAAGGAGTCATATTTCACTTAGAAAAAGTTCCAATTTTCAACTTTTTTAATGGCTTACTCCAAACACTTACCATATTTTTTAGTAATTAATGTTCAAAGTGGCAATTGGAATTACTACAGAAACCATATGTTAATTTTTTAAATGTTCTAAACATTATTTGAAATTGGATTTTGTATTAGTAATAGCAGCTTCCAGAAATATTGGGATCCCAGATAGCATACAGGGTCATATTCTCTAATAACTCAATTTTCCCCTGCTATAATCAAGTATGTTAATGTGTATTGGTCAAAAACTGCTGGTGGAAATAATTATTATTCCCATAAATAGTTACCAAATACACAGTACAAGAAAAATACATTCAATATTGGTGATAAAGAAATAGTTACCTGCAACTGTAAATAGTGGGGAAAAATATTTAGTAGGTATGTTGGTCTTTATATGCTAAGTAGATAAGAATGATGGGCCAGGGATTTAGCTCAGTGGTTCGGCCACCTGTCTTGCAAATTCAAGGTCCCAAGTTCGATCCCTGGTACAAAAAAAAGAAAACAGAATGATATTTATTGCTTAAGTAGAGTACGTGATAACACAACTCATTACCCTACAGGTTTTGGTTGCTCATAATGCAATGGATGTTTTCTAAAATGTCTGAAGTAAACATGCCATATCCAGTACACAATTTGCTTGAACCTTAGTGGTGACTCTGCACTATTGTGCAGATAGATGCTAAATGCTAAAACAAGTTCCTATGTTTTAATGTTTTAGCATACTGAGAAGTAGGTTACTTTATGTCATTATTGAATATGGAAAGTGCCATCTTCCCATATGATGATATGAGCCTAGGAAGTTGAATTTCTGTGATTAAAACGTGAAGTGGCTGTCAGGGTATGGAAACATCCTAAGGTCTGTTGTGAATTCTATCATCCTTGTGGAAGGACACCAGTCAATACTTGGGGCCATGGTGGTACAATGAAAATAGCTTGGGACAACTCTTCTTCACCCTTTGTAGCTATTTCTGAAACTCAAAACAAAAAACTCTGTAGTGCTTTAATTGGCAGGATCATACTTCCATTGAACCATTTCTTCTGACAAACTCCCAACCTAATCAGTGCATTTTTTGACATTCCCATGTCCCGAAAACCCTTAGCCTAATTTGCATTTGTCAGCACCATTTACATCGTTGGGTTGTTTATAAAATACATACTAGGTTGAGAGGCTTTGATTATTCCTTAGCATAATAGTTACATCAAGTATTCTTACATATGTCTGCACTCTCACTGAGACTTGCTGATGATGGAGTTTCACCCGTTAAATAAATTGGAGAATCATAAAAAAATCATAAAAAGTCATAAAAAAATCTTGATTTGAGGGTGGCCTAGATTTAAAGTTTGATTGTATCACTTGTTATGTGGATAACCTTAAGTCATCTCTGAGCTTCTCTATAACTCAGTTTCCTCATTTGTAAAACAGAGATATTCATATGTTTAAATGACTGATTCTACGGATGTCTGTATCTGTCAGTTCAATAATTTATAGCTATCACATTTTCCCAGAAATATAGTTCTTCTTAGGAGTGAAGAATTAGTTACACTCTGCTCTTTTCATCAGGTCACACCTAGACATCTTTTCTTTCCTTCCACAGGCCACCTTCAAAGGAAAGGGACATTGATGGATGAACAAATGCACCCAAAGAGCGTAAGAAATCAAGATTATGTCCTGTGAGCAATGGAACAGAGGGAAGAATATGTCAAAACTCCAGGCAGTTTTGTAAAGTAATTGCAGATCTATAATGTGTGAGAAAATTTGGAATTATTCATGGGATTCCAGACAGCTGGATGGAGACCAGGATGTTAAAAATGGCGGCAGAGTTGACTTAAGATAAGGGAGAAGTTAATGATAATGGAACAGATGGACCCAGGTGTACTCTGAGATACAGCTGTTCAGATGGAGGCTGCCTAACTAGTGGGTCAGGATTCTCTGGAGATGGTCTAAATTGTAGTAAAGGGAATGGGATTATTTGATAGGTAAGGAGCTCTTTGGTCTTATGTGTCTATTTCATTGCCATGTACATTACATAACATGAGATGATGACAGTGTTTCTAGTTACAAGAAAAATTAGTCCATCACATCCAATGGAGTAGAAGCTTCAGAAAACCGTCACCTCCTCTCACCTCCTCACTCTTTAGTCACCTTCTGACTATTTGTCATTCAAAACCTCTTCTACCATGAAGTCAGTTTAGCCCTCCACAATCTGGTCCCAAGCTATCTTTCCAGGATCATGTGCTATTTCTCATAAACTGGCCTAGCTGTCTGCATCCACACCAGGTGACTTGTCCATTCAAAAAGGAGCCATGTTTCCACACTTCTATCCATGCATGATGTAGCCTATAACACCTCCTCTTCTCCTGTGGTCCTCAGTACTTCAATCTTTTGTCAAATCCTACTTGTGTTTTAGGAACTTGCCTGACTTTATCAATAACAAGACACCATGCGGCTAGGACCATGTCTCTATGTTTGTTATTGTCTTGCACTGTGAAGTCTTTTGTGCATCACAAGATGTTGATTACCACAAATACTTTTACTCAAAATAAGTTAAAGTCAAAAATTTCAAAAAGAAATTGTGGTCCTTTGTTAATACTAAAGTTTAAAGACACAAAAGCAATAGAAGACATGCACCCAAAGGTTAAATAAGATATGGATGATATGAGACATTTCAGGCAGCAGATTTACTGTAGATGATGATTTTCCACATTTCCCAGAAAAATGTGGCCACAGGCTACTCTGACTGACAGGGTCAAGCTCCAGAGGAGAATTCGATTGGAGCCTCTCCTGGCTTTGACAAGGACGCCTGCACTTTTCCAAATTGGACAGGGCCTCTGCTCTCAGCTGGGCACAGCCCAACCCCACATTACCTATTTAAAGAAACAATGATTGTAGCTAAGATCCAGGGCACAGACTCTGAGAGCATGAACAAAGAAGTTTTTCCAGTTTTTTCCTCCTCTAGCCAAACAAAGGTTTTTACATGACGGAATTACACACTCATGTGGCCAATACATTCTGACAGTCTATTAGTCACTGGTGACATGAATATCCAGGCTCATTTGTTTCTAGGGTACTTTTTAAAATGTGGATCTTGCTTAAATTACCTATTCCAATGAGATGAAGACAATTTCTTTTAGGGTGACCACTAATTGACATACTTGCCTGTACCACACTAGGTAATTTGCCCACACAAAGAGGAGTGTTTACACATACATCTCAGAAGAATCATCTCAATGTCTGCCTTTCCCAGTTGATTGGAGTTTTATGCGGTGCTCAGTATGTTAGCTTGATCCAATTTTGACCTTCCATCCCTTTTCTGCTCTGCACGTCCCCATCCAGGAGCCTGGAAGATTCTCTTGCCATTGCTGCTCATGAAGAGTTTTCCTGCCCTCTCAGTGTCATTTTCACCAACTGCATTGAGCCCTGTTTAGCTCTGTATTTCAGCTACAACCCAATCCTATTTGGCTGCCATGCTGATTTTGGTAGTTCTTCCCCTTGGGATTTAATTGTAGTAGTGGTTCAGCTTCCTTTGTGAATGGCCCTGCAACTGGCCATTTGCTCTGGGAGTGTCCACTCAGAAGCACTGCCCGCTGACACATCCTGAGTCCTTCCTTCCCAAGACTCTGCTTTACCATGAATTCACCAAGAGACACTGATAACAGAGGCTCTGCCATCTTTCTCTTCACCCTGTAATTAAAATGGAGTTCAGAGTAATCATAGGACAGCAAAAGCAATATACCAACCATTTAATTATTAATGTCTTAACAAAACTACTGGTTGCAAACATTCTTTATGACAGGTACTATGCTAAACACTGGAAATATTATGATAAGCAGTCATTTCCTTAGAGAGCCCTGCAAATGAGATAAATCTATACTTTTCCTGCATATATTCAAATGTTAATGAGACAAGCTCCCAAATAAGTTAAAAATAAAACAAAATAAAAAATTGATCAAACCTCTAGTCACCCACAAATGTACTTGGGGAGAAATTTGCGTCAAACCCCAATCTTGAGACCTCAGCCTTCTGTGGATCTGCATCCCATCCATCATCCTCAGATCCTCAGTATGAATCAGAAACACAGAATGAATGGCTGCTGATGAACTAAAAACTATTGCTTCAGAAAGGCACATTCCTCTTTTTAGTAAACTCAACCAAACTAGGTTGAAATGTTTTCATGTGCACTTAAAAAGACAACAGGAGGTATCTCTTTTTAATTTATTAGAAAGTGACAAAATAAAAAGAGCAAAAATTCTCATTCCTCTCTTTGATAGTTGGGGCTATGTTGGCCAGGAGAGCAGCCCCTCAGAGATGAACCCTACCCCAAACCCTAGAAGCTATGGCTGTGCTACCCAACAAAAGGGACTTTTCAGATATGAGCCACGTGGATATTTTTGGGTAGAGGAAATATCCTGGACTATCTAGGTGGGCCTAGTGTCACCAGAAGGACCCGTATGGAGGAAGGCAGGAGGGTCAGTGTCAGAGGAGAGATAATGATGGAAGCAGAGGCTGTAGGATGGGCATGAATCAAGGATTCAGGACAACTTCAAAGCCAGAAAAGCCAAGGAATACATACTTCAGCTGAACCCCTTTGTTTTTCACTCAGTGCCAATGTATAGCTAGTAAACTAATGATTTTGAACTAAGTGACATTTTACTGACAAACACATTCAGGTTCATGCCTCAATGCTAATATTGGTGACTCTGAAGTGTCACTTGGGTTATAAGTAATTTCTTGGAACTTTTGGAATAACTTAAAGGACCGTAAATGTGTAGAGGAATAGGTCAATGGTCAATGTAAATATCAAAACTTAGGAACAACATCACTAGGAGGTAGGCAGAGAAAAGGAAGAAGGGCTCCAACAAGGCCACAAATATTTCAAAGTACCCATGGACACTCCTTCCTTCAATGCAAACCACTAACAAACAGGGAAAAACCATTATCTTCTCTTCAAGTTTCTGAAATTTGTGATGTTGTGATGAAAATATTCAAACCTTTATATACATTTCTATTTTGCTTTCCCAAAATAAAAAAGCATCAAGACTGCTCATTGGCATGAATATCTCCACCTCAATATGCCTTGAGTACCTGCTCCACTGCTCTGGTTCGAGACAATTAATCCTAATATGCAATCCCTCCTGTGGTCATTTCTCATCTTGGCAGGCCTCTTTCTGTAATGCCTAAAGGGGCGTGGCCCGGGTCCCAAAGCTTGGGCGCAGCCAGATGTACTTTGCCTCACAGACTCGAACAGCTTGTTCTGGCCTCTCCTTTTCTTTCTTCTTCCCCTTTGTGCCCTTTTTTTCTTCCCTCCTTTCATCCTACTTTCTTTCCTTCTTTTCCCATTTCTTCTGCCTCCCCATTTCCCTCCATCCCTCTTCCTCCCTCATTATTCTCTCCTCTTTCTTGCTCAGTTTCCTGAAAATAGTCTGATTTCCAAAATCAAAAAAATAAAACAAAGCAAATGTTCCTAGCCAAAGCATCACCCAGACTTTCTGCACAGTCAAGAACATTGGCTCTGATGCTCTGTACCAAGTATAATTAGGTGATTGACAAATGGCAGGTAGCAATGGAGATGGAAATAACCTCTATTATCATGCTTTCGTTATTCAGGGAAAAGCTCCAGTGCTCTAATTTTTTTCAACCCAATTCCAATTTCATATTTATGAAAAGCTAGTCTCTGCCACTCCCCAGCAATCTGCTTATTGAACATACTTTTCTGCAAGCATAATTATATGCCCCATCCCTTGATATTGCATCCTTTTATTTCATTTTCCTCTCCACCTCCTGCTATGCTGACTGCCATCACAATGCTCCATGTTCTGACCAAAAGAATAGGTCATTGATTTTTTTTTCCCAAAGCCAGTACCACTCTGTGAATTGGTCTTGATCCCTAGAGAGTGTGCGTGTAAGAGAGAGAGAGAAATGGAGAGAGTATGATAACACAGCCACAGGACACTGGGCCAAAGGTCCCCATCCACTCCAGTGAGGCTACATTGTGTTGTCTCCCTCCCCTGACACATCTCTTCTAATGACAGACGCTCCTATGCAAGTGCTTATACTGGAAATTGGATGCCATTTCTGTGTGGGCATATGATTATCATATGTACACACGAGCTTTAGCCAAGATCTGCATTTGGAAAGCAAGTGAGCAATAAGGACAATATCCACTAGTCTACAATTTTTTTTTACCAGCTCAGACAGACTACACATCATTTATTCACATTGTAGAGAGGTTGCATGGTTTAAATATTAACCCATAACTTGGCAAGCCAACACTTTGAAAAACTATACTATCCTCCTAATTGGAAGGTAGCAATGAGGATGGAATGCAGGATAATGATCAGGCTTGGTAGGTACTTCTCCCTTCTGTTTCCTTGAATCTGAGACTTTCTTTATAAGGTTCTCCTGAATATATGCTTCATTGTACTAGTAAAGACACAACCAACCAATTAATTATCACGTGAAAGTCTACACCAACCGTGGTCTTATTTAGTCACAAGAAATATGGTGATAAGCAAAGCAGACAGTACTGTTTTTCCAGTCAAGAGGGAATGGGGGCAAGTGAGATAATTTTACTCTACTTGTAAGTGAGTGTGACTTGTATGATATCTCCAAATGATCTCTGATTTGACTTGTTCGTGAATGACATTCTC